CATACTCACAAACTTCTTGCCCTGAGTCCCTCACATATCCAGCCCAAACTCCTGCACCCTCACATCCACAAGCCCTGGCTTGCTCAGCACCCCAACCTTCCACTTGAACCCAACACTCCCCAGCCTAGAGCCCCCTCCCTGAGTCAACAGCCCCTTCTCCTGCATCTAAATTCCCTCCCAGAGCTTGTACTTCTCACCCCTTCCCACACCCAAATCCCTCATTCCCACCCCACCCCTCACTCTCACTAGGTTAAGACAGGTATAAGGGCAGGGGATAGCAAGTGATGGAGAGGAGGGGAACAGAGCGGCTGAGGCCCCATAGAAGGGAGATGGGGGGGGGGCCTTGGGGAAGGAATGTGAATTTCATGAACTGGTGGGTCCCTTTCTCCTCCCCCACCCCCTTTTTTTTTTTTGCTTGACAAACCTAGGGGTTCCTTGAAATTTTGAAAAGCTGAAAAGGGTTCCTCAGCCAAATAAAATTGGGAAACACTGCTATAGCCATAGGAGGCCAGATAGTTAGATGGTAAAAGTTGATGTATATCTGCTGAGGATATGGTCCAAAGTGTCTATCTAAATGAAGCATCTTATTACTATAGGATCACTGTATGCTGAACATCCAATTACTTTGGAAATGAATGCAGACCAAGCTGTGTTTTATCACCAACCTTATAAAAGAGCTAAGAAGATCTGGCATATTTCAAGTTGGAATAAAATCAAAAGGCAACCAACTATGGCTCAGCCTCCCAGACAGTAATTTTGTGAACCCTAGACTCTGGGGTTCCATTACTAGTTTGATTAGACATAATTGACAGGACAAAAATGTTCTTGGATTTTGACTTGCCAAGCAAGCAGGGTGTTGTTCTACGTAATTGTCCTTTTTATTCCCCTATTCCCTTTCCTGGAGAATTCTAAGTATGTGAAGTACCTTCAAGTTGAACTAGTAGTTGCCCAACGGAAGGATTCCATTATAAGAAAAACTAAATCTAATGACAACACCAAATGATGAAAATCAAGTTAAATTCCCACAAGAGGCTGAGTTAAAGCATTATGATGGAAATCTGTTGAACACATGCTGACAGAAGTAAAGGGAGAGCTGAAGAATGAAAAGAAAAAAAGACATGCTTTGTGCTATAAAATGTGTATCACGTTTGAACAAGGTTCTGAATACAGCTAGGTGACTAGATACAGACCCAGGGTTAGTGATAAGTATTGAGCTGGGAAAATTATATTTAGCAGCACATCAGTAACTAATTAAATACAGATGGGATGCTGAATGCTATTTTTGCTGAGCTGTGCTGACCACAAAGCTGTGGTCAGCATCATGTCACCTAACTGTTGTTCACAGCCACCTCAAGTAAATTTTTGCTGGACAGACAAAGTCTAAGATGAAAGATAAAATGAGACAGGAGGCCAATTGGGCAGAATGGCGATGAGGCAATGGAGAGAAAGGACAATGTGTGTTAGAGTTGGGGCAGGGTGAGAAAAAGGCACCAGTAAGGAGCTAAAGAGAAGGACAATGGTTACAACCTGCAGGGATTCACCAGGGTACATCTGTTTCCTAGCAAAACAGCATAGGTAGAGCTCCAGTTCTTAATGCTTCAGGAAGTGTAATGTTTGTGTTGTGTTGTTATGCTGCAGAATCACTAAGTGATATGACAGTACAATGCTACAAAGTCAAGAAACCCAAAATGTGTGTTCTAAAGCCTGTGAGAGTGTGTAGATACACTCACTCTAGAAGAAAGACGTGAGAAACATAAGGACATTTGTTACACAACAGTTTCAATACGGTCACAAATATTCCTCAGTTCCGTAGCTGTCAAAGAGCAGGTTACCATATCAACATTATTGTCAAAAGAGACTATAATACAGAATACAAACCAGCAAAGGTATCTAGGGATGACTGTAGTTAAAACAGTAAAAATATCAGTACAATAAGGGAAAACAGAAAAATCTCAAAATTATTTCTATAGTGTGTGCATGTGTACAGAATACACAATGTGTTGTGGTATAAAAACTATCAGGGCAAGAGGTTTATGTACATTATCCCTCCTGAGTGCTGAAAAATATCGTTACCCCACACAAGGATATATTTTGCATATGTGGTACATATTACAATAATGTTATTTTCAGGCTGAGAGATTTCAAGGTGTGTGTTAGCTTCCGTTATTACATAAGGGGAAAAACTACCATACGGATTAGTGTCAATAAAAAATTACTTTTTGGCAGAGGTGAAAGTAAGGCAGTGCACCCTAGTGTGCCATTCTAGCAAGAACCAGCTGGGGTGCGCTGCTGTATGCACACGTGGTGCAGCTTGTGGAAGCCCCAGCAAGCTGAGACAGGCAAATGTGAAAGGAACCAGCTGTGGGCAAGCTACAGGGGAGGGCACTATGCTAGAGAGGAGGGAGAGCGCTCCCAGCCAGGCTTCCGGTATGTCTGCACCTGTCCTGTTGCCCCTCTCTCACTGGATGCCAGGTAGCAAACGTGCAGGCTGTGGTGTGCACTGCTGCCAGCAGCCCCCAGAGAGAAGCCAGAGAATGGAATGGCAGACTAGGAGGCTCTCGCACAGCTGCTGATTTCTCTGTAGCAGTGCCCCCACACAGCTGGCCCATAGCTCTCTTGTGGCAACACAGCGAACAGGAGCAGCAAGGCAGGAACTTGTCTACCAACCAGGTAACAGTAACCTGGTGATGACTGGGACTGCCCCAGCCCTGTTTCTCACCCCTGCGCACACACAGCTCCCTGCCCTGAGCCATCCCCCACAATACCAGCCCCTGCCCTGACTCCTACACCTCCTTGCACACCAACCCTCTGCTCTGAGTCTCACACCTATCAAACCTTACTTCTACACCCCGCACTTTCTCAGCCTCTCACTCTGAGCCTCCTCCAACACTTAGTCCCCTGCTGACTCCTGCACCCCTCCACACATCCCAACCCCTTGCCCTGAGCCCCTAACACTCCCAACCCTGACTCCTACCTCCCACATCCCCAGTCTCCTCCTGACTCCTGCACCCCCTACACACACCCCAACCCTCTGACTTGAGCCCCCCACATCCACCCATACTTATATTTCTTACACGTACTGTCATACCACAACCCCTACCCCAAGACCTTCCCCAAAGGGAGTTGTGATAGGACAGCACCTATAAGAAATTGAAGTTACTTTCACCCCTGCTTTTCATAGTCCCAGTTTATAATTTCTTCAGAGTGACTAGAAAGGGAGGGGCATGAGCAAAGATGTACCTTTTGCACAAACATTTTTGTTTTAAGGTTCTCAACTGCCTCTGGAACACAGGCTTAACTCCATTTAGTTTTCACTTGCAAGTTTATTACAGCCACCATTACCCGAGTAACTCCAGTGTGGAATGGGGATGGAAAGTAGAAGAGACGCCAACAGGAAGAGTTGCACAGCAGATGAGAGCTCATTTGTTTGATTCTGTGCTTTTTTTAAAAAAATGTTGCTGTGAAAATCACAGGCTGCACAATATCCTGAATAGGCCACCTTCATGCGTAGCCAGCGTGGGCAACTTTCTATAGGTTCTGCAGTTCGGAAGATCACAGACACAGAGCCAGATCCTCAGCTGATGTACATGAATGCAGCACCACTCAAGTCAACAGACTTCTGCTTACTGACAGTCTGTTGGTCTGAGCATTTAAACATTTGCCAGCATGAAAGCGTAAGCAATACTTCAATACTTTGTTCCATTCAAAAGCACTTTTGAGAAGAGTCAGGACTGCAAAAAAACCCATCTCATTAGCACTGTAAAATGTTAATGCAGTATATTTTTCTGTTCTGATGAATATGTTGGCAACTGATTTTCAAACATGATTTTAATGTCAATTGGCATAAAATAATTATACCAAGATTTAGAGAGACTGACTTTTAAAAAAAAGTTAATAGCCATTTTAGAACTCACTTATTTAGAAGTTTCTGAATGACCATGATTACGTATTCCGACTTCACAATGTAACTTACCATACATTAGCGAATATAACCCGCATCCATGTGTAACACATACTTGTGTATTACCCGCGGTCTTTCTATCATGTGTAAAAGAAATATTAGATTACCCACGGACGTATATAACCCGCAGAGACTTCTGCCGCCTTCATACAAGGTGGTCTTTAATGCCACGGTGGGAGATGTGGCAGCAGCAGAAGCACTGCCGCTTGGGCCCATGAGCAGCAGCGCTGAGGTGAGGAGGTAGGCGCCCAGCGTAGAGTGCAGACACGAAGCGACAGCCATCCTGCTGCCAGTGAGCTGGCCGGCCTGCGAGAGCAGCAGCACCAGCCAGGGGCCACCCACCCTCCTCCGGGTGGGGGGAACGGAGAGAGCAGCGCAGGCACGCTGGAAGCTCGTCAGGCCCTCCCTGCCCCCCTGCAGCGGAGCTGACCCAGTTCTAATGGGGGGGTGGAGGCGAGCAGAGCCACTTAGGGGAACTGATGCTCCCAGGGGACTCCAAGGAGTAAAAATCAACTTGTATAAGACGCGGAAATGTATACCCTGTGGAAGGGGAGGGGAAGGGGCGCATGGTTGGTAAAAACATGTATAACCCGTGGGTTATATTTGCTAATTTATGGTATTTCTGAGAAATTCTATGCAAGAAACATACATACACACACAATGCAGGAATTTTCCACACACTGAAATTAATACTGTACTATAAAATTCTAAGAATGTATATATCTACTGTATATCATTTACACAATACAAAATAAATAGGCAGCACTATTTACATTCTGTCTCTAAAACAGTTGGATGAATCAGTTCAATAAATCTAAAAGCTCTAGTAAAACTGGATTTACAATTGATAAGGCAATTCAGCTCTTACCTCCATTGTTGGTGGATCCTTTCTTCTTTTTCTAATCCAAGCTGCAAAACATTAAAATATTTCAAAGGAAGCAAACAGGTCTTACACCTCAGAGATATGAATTTACACAAGACCCAGTGACATACAGGTACAATTTGCAGGAGACTAGAATATCGAATTCCCCAAAAATACAGTATTTAATATTTAAGCAGTTATTAACCCTTGCCCAAAGCCCCAGTCTCCATCCCTTCAGTTTAGAGAGCATGAACAAGGACATGCACTACTTGAATCTTCGAAGTAGGGCTCAAGTGATATACAAGTCTTTTGTGAAACACTGCACAGCGGTGAATGTCACCCTGAGAAAACCGCCTAACCATTCTACAGTGATGGTCATTTTGCACCGCTTTGGAGAGAGGATTACTGGCTATGACTAAAGTGCTGAAGTCCAAAAATGTATTACTTACTCATGAAAAAAGTGACAAATAGGATGTATGTTGGGATCCTGAAACTCTTACTCTTGCTAAGGTAGCATCCTTGCTCTACAAGTAATCCCACTGGTGAGTACAAGTAGCAGAACATGGACCATTCTGTAGTAGATGTCACGATTACAAGGCTAGCCATGTGCTGGGCCATGAAGTGCTGGCTGCTGGGCCACAGCAGCACTGGGGGCCAGGACTGGGGTACATCGCCCAGCGCCTCTCTTCCCACCAGGGCTGTTGGCAGAAGTATGTCCTACCCCACCTCTCAACCAACCAGCACTGGACAGGGTCTCCTCCCGGACATGGAAGATCAGTTCACTGCACAGCTGGAAGGCCGCGCAATGCCCAGCATGACAGCCTCACAGCAGCTGCAACTCTGGCAGCAGCGTTCAGCTGGTGGCTGGGAGGCAGTACAGGGCTAGGTGAGGGGGCAGGATAGGCACTGGGGGGCTCTGGAGGAGGGGCAGACATGGGGGGTTGAGTTCAGGGGACTCTGGGGTAAGTGGCTGGCACTGAGAGGCTTAGGGTGCTGGGGTGTACCCCAACCCTGGCCCCCAGAGCATCTGCAAAGAGCTAGTTTCAGCTGCGGCAGCAGCCCGCAACATGGTAACTGCTGGAGCTGAAGCCAGCTGTTTGCGGCAGCTGTGGGGCTCCGGGCTTTTGGCAGACTGGCAACATTTTACTTGTATAATCATTTGAATAATGAATATGCAAATAAAACATTGCTAGTCTGCCAAAAGTCTGTGAATGGCTTTGCCAGTCCGCAGTATAAAAAAGTTGGGAACTGCTGACAGCATGTCTACACTATAATTAAACACCTAAGGCTGGCCTATGTCAGCTGACTCAGGCTTGTGAGGCTCATGCATCAGAGCTATTTAACTGCAGTATAAACATTCAGGCTCAGGCAGGAGTTCAGGCTCTGGGCCCCTCACTGACATGTCAGAGGGTTCCTGAAGCCAAACAGCCATACTCCAGTTAAATAGCCCCATAGTCTGAGTACCTCGAATCCAACTCAACTGACAGGATGTTGAGGATGTGGATGTTTAATTCCAGTGTAGGCCTACCCTAAGTCCCTCACGAATGTGGTATGAGCTGTCTTTCAAGGCAAATAAAGTTCTTAATTCTCTTGGCTCAGATCCTTGGAGCTGGTGCCCAAAACCAGTTTGGTGTGCTCTGCAGGACCCAACCTAGAGCAACAAAGCAAAAGGCCTGTGCATTTTCTCAGGTGTTTTGTAACAATTCCCAAAAGACTGTAAGGGATGGCTTATCTCGAGTCAGGTTTGTTTTCCAACAGACCTGGCGATGTACTCCAGTGTAGTCATTCATTCAGCATTCCAATAAATCGGTCAAAATACAGGATTCAGTTGGGGGGAGGGCAGAGATGCACAATTCATAACTTCTGTTGGCCAATAGCATTGCATCCAACATCAATCTAGTCCCTCCCAGAAGCTCCCTTTAGGTTACCCTCTCTGTTTCACAGACCCTCCCCCACTTCTTGAACATGCTAAATATACTCTCTGGTTTTCCCAATGACATAATTCCTGCTAGGGCAGAAACAAAAGAAGCCCAGGGGACACACAGGATGCAGCTACACATAGCAGCAGGAAGTTTTGTTACCTCTTTTCTATACGTACTTCTGGTGTCAAGTAAAATGTCTATCTTGACACCTCTCAGCTCATCATGCAGATACTACATGATATCAGATGTGGAAGTCACACCATGGGGAAGACCCAAAAGCTGCTCCAGAGCCCAGGCAACTAACTGCAAGTAATTTTCCACCAGCTCTAAGATTCAGGGGAAGTTCTGCCTATGTTTGGAAAAGGGTCTGACAGCAATGTGGATGATATATTAAAGCTACAGTGGCAAATAAACCAGAGAATAAGCAAAAGATTGCTCTACTCTGAAGAGGGCAGGTACAGAAGCCCCAAATGTACACAGTGCATTCTATACCGATGATGGTGGTGAAAGAGAAGAAAATTTGAAAAAAAAGATGGAAGTGTTTGAGGATTGTGTCTCTGGCGGGGAACAGGAACGTTACTTACAAGAGATATATGTTCAGGATGAGAACACAGGATAAGGGGAAACAATAGAGGAGTTTGTCAGACTTGAAACTAAAAAATCAGTCTCATTACAGATCACATTGTTTTGTGATGTAACAGTTACTAAACCAATGGATCTGATGCTAGAAAGGGCAATGTGTACATCCCAAGCAGCAGAACTAGAAGAAACACAAATAAAAAGCTGACAGATAGGCACAGAGCTTATGACAAAGTACTATAGCTAAACCACCACAAGAAAAGCACACAACAATTGGCCAAGGACAAAAACAGGGAAAGCAGAAATCCAGCAAAACAGCAACCATGATGCCCAGAATTGAGGCAGGTATGCACAAACCCAATCACTGTGATAAAATGGGAAGAGAAAGCAGGAAAGCACAAAGAAGAGGAAGAGCTGTTCTAAAGCACAATAATAGAGGAAGCAGAAAACTCAAAAGACTGGGTAATTAAAGTGTGCACAAATGGCTGGCATATATGGGATATAAAAGACAGACATTGGAGCACATGTAAATGACTCAGGATTGTTAATAAGGGGACAAGTGAGAGACATGTGGCACACAAATCTTCTCTTGTATTGGAGACCATCATTTTTACACCATCACATGCAGCAGTTCAGATGCTCCAGGGAAAAGAGGCAAAGCAGTGGGTGTGTTAGAAGCATGTGCAATAGACACAAAACAGGGAGGCAGCAGAAAAGTACAGAAAGAGAAGGCAATCTTAATGCTTAATAAACATAGCAGTTTTTAACCTCACATCATATAATTATTTTTTATCATCTGTCTCTATATTTTCATTACAACTCAACCAGTTTGATTCCTCAGTCCTCAACATCTATAACTTGTTTCCCGTTTTGGGAAAATTGCTAATATTTTCTTAAAATGCTAGATCTTCACAGCTGTATTTCAGCTTCAGCTTACCATCAATTCATAGTTCTGTACAAACTAACCTTTGAAATCATACCAAGTTTAAACTGCAGCTGTGAGTGATCGCAGAAATACAAGCACTTGAATGGCCATCTTTCCAGCTTCCCCTACCCAACACTGCCAGCTTGGATTCTTAATTAGAGATTTGCAGTTGAATGGAGTGTTTTCATGACGTGCTACTTACTTAATTGCCTCAGCTCAACACTCCACAAAAAGGCCACTAAAAGTATTTTAACTTTATCTTTCAAAATTAAATACATTTTATAAGCACAATATAGAAAGTGAGGAAAATGTTTGTAATGGGGCTGCACTCACCTCACACAAGCGCCCCCATCTGGTCACGTGCATATGCCTGCACTGTCTCTTTAAAAGTCTTTTTGGCTGCTTAGTCCTTCCACTGAGTCACATATTGTGAAATACTCAACCCCCCTCCAAGGTACACACTTAACAGGGCCCCAATCTCAGCGCCTTCTGTTAGCATCTCTGTGTCTGTTCCCCTCTCAGAGAGAGTAGTGCCTCCAGGATTTCTCCTGGAGACAACTCCTTGCTCCTAGCGGAGGGCTTTATCACAAGTTCATCAATCTTTTTCCAGCTCTCCAATTGGAGCTGGTTCCACCCACCCCCACTCAATCCCTTTCCTCACTTGGAGTGAGTGGTGCCTCCAGGTCTCCTTCTCCTGTAGACAACTTCCTTACCCAGCCTCACAGTCTGTTCTCCTTGAGCTCTGCTCTGTGTTGATTTTTGCTCTGCTTTGCTGCTCCCTTTGTAGGCCTTCCTGGCACCTTATTGGCTGATTCTTCTTCTGCCACTCTTGCTGCTTGGCAGACCTCTCTATGGTAGCTCTGGAGCAGGGTTTAGCCAGACCACTCTATCACAATGTTATCCAAAATATTTTTACTTATTAAAGATTACCTTCAGTTTGCTGCACTCATGGAGTAACAAATTATTTCTCACATCAAATCTTGCTACACCCATGGAGTGACAAGTTATTTCTCATATCAAACCTTCTCCATCATCATATTACTGACAATTTATACACACAGGTAGCACATTTAAGATGTTATGCTTCCCCCCACCCTTCACCTTCCAATAAACAACTCTGAATTTATAGTTTTATAGAGGGCTCCAACCTTCTCTCCTGGCACTTAATGCCAGAACCACAAAAAATCTCACAACTGAGCCTTAAGAGAATCTTCTTGTTCTAAACACAGCACTAGATACTATTTTTCCAAATAGATGCAGCTGAATTCAGAGTATTATCTGTAACTAGCCAATTAGCCTGTCATAAGAAGGGATTTTCAGGTCTCTCCTCCATGTTGGTCTTCTCTCCTGAGCCTCCGGTCTCTTGCTCGTCTCTCTCTCTCTCCTCCTACTGCCTCCCCCTCTCTCTCTCTCAGCTCTCCTCTGCCTCCTGCCTCTCTCACCTTCTGCCTCTCTCTCCATCTCTTTCTTTTCTCCTCCTCCTCCAGCCTCTCTCTCCTCTCCGTCTCTCCCCGCCCCCCTTCCCCTTCCTCCATGGTGGCTCCCCCCGGGGGCGGCCGCGCCCCCCCCGCCGTGACAAACAGCCAGGGGGCGGGGCCAGGTACATCACCACCCTGCTCCCCCTTCCCCTTCTGCTGTGGGGGAGCAGAAACAGCCACTTACCGCCACTTGCTCCCCCACTGCAGCTTGGCTGAGCAGCGTAGCACTCAGCCGAGCTGCCACAGAGGAAGGGGAAGGAGGCGGTGCACTGACGTACATGGCCAGGGGGCGGGGCCATGTACGTCAGCGTTACAGACTCACAGACATTGGGCTACTATATATATGATAAACTACATTAGAAAAAGCATGTATTTGGGAAGAACATGCAAGTGTTCTTCTACTGTCTGATTACATTTGAGTCTTGTCAACAGGGCAAACCTCAAATGTTTTACAGGATGAAAAACAAAAGCCATCCTCTGAACTGACAGCCTTTTAATATAGCTTTATCAGTCTTTCAAAAATAACTCCCAGATTTTCTAAACTTGAAGCATTCTTCTCTATTTGGGGACAAGGATAAGTTGAGTCTCTCATATTTTTCCCAATTAAATCTTCATGAGTTCAGACAGTACAAGCAGTATTTTCTGCATCTGATAAGAGACTGAATGTAAAATCCTAAACCTCAGAAATGCTTATACATGTGTATAACTTCACTCACATGAATACAATTAGGCATGCACTTCAGTGCTTGCAAGATCACAGCCATAATTATGGACGACAATGAGAAAAAACCAGGAGTAGTTAAAATATGTATAAATAAATTATTAGAAATTGTCTATGTCCGAGTCAGAACTACAACAATGGCTGCCCGTTGCAGGGAGCCATAGCCTGTAATACCTCTAAGGCTGGTATAGGGGGCTCTGTCTGTGAGGTGGAGTGTTTTCCATATAAGGGCATGTAAATTAATAATCTTCCCCTGCTCGCTCCACCCATTGCAGTGAAAGATCAGCCAATGGGCTGACTTGTGCTCAGGCCTGCTACTCCACCCACTGCAGCAAAAACCAACCTATGGGGTGATAAGTTCACAGGCAATAAAACAGGCAGGCAGCCCCTCTCTCACTGGGGATTCGCATCGAGTGAACGCCTGGCCTGATCACCCAGATGCCTTGCACCCCCCGCTCTTGAGTCTTACTGAGCGTACTCCGAGTTGGTCGACCCGAGTGGAGACAGTTTATGAGCGTGTGACCGGTACTTGTGTTCCTGCTGTCTCCAGAACTGGTATAACCCCTCCTCCCCACCATCATCCCTATCCTAATTGATTTTTTAGTTGTCCTTATTGCTTGCCAAGTGACAGTGGCTAAAAAGTTACTAAGTTAGTTTATAAATAGTTGTGGTTTAGGTTTTTTACTGTTTCCTTGTATAAAGTTGTGTAAATAGTCAGCCCTATGGATAATACCAGTGTTAATTCAACTGTTCCTAACCCCTGGGCAGTTATTGGGAATTATTGTGATTTAGAAAAGCCTCAGGGAATTGTTTTGTGTTGTCTGGCAATCTGTCTAATTTTTGTTCTGATGATTGTCTGGCGTCATCAAAATAAAATCAGTTTGTGCTTTTTGAAACCCCCAGTTGTGGTCTCATCCTTTCCGGCATCCCTTCAAACCTCGTGTATTACGGGGACTGACAGTCTAATTTAACAAAAACCAAATGATTAATCGTTTCAATGAGACAGAACAGATATCACATTGTATATTCTCTGAACACACTTGCACACCAACATTTGCATTAACAGGCGTGTTGTGAGCAAGACACGAGAAGTCATTCTTCCACTCTACTCTGCGCTGGTTAGGCCTCAGTTGGAGTATTGTGTCTAGTTCTGGGCACCACATTTCAAGAAAGATGTGCAGAAATTGGAGAGGGTCCAGAGAAGAGCAACGAGAATGATTAAAGTCTAGAGAACATGACCTATGAGGGAAGACTAAAGGAATTGGGTTTGTTTAGTTTAGAAAAGAGAAGATTGAGGGGGGACCTGAGAGCAGTTTTCAGATATCTAAAAGGGTGTCATAAGGAAGAGGAAGAAAAATTGTTCATCTTGGCCTCTGGGGACAGAACAAGAAGCAATGGGCTTAAACTGCAGCAAGGGAGTTTTAGGTTGGACGTTAGGAAAAAGTTCCTAAGTGTCAGGGTAGTCAAACAATGGAATAAATTGCCCAGGGAGGTTGTGGAATCCCCGTCTCTGGAGATATTTAAGAGTAGTTAGATAAATGTCTATCAGGAATGGTCTAGACAGTATTTGGTCCTGCCATGAGGGCAGGGGACTGGACTCGATGACCTCTCCAGGTCCCTTCCAGTCCTAGTATTCTATCATTCTATGATTTAGAGACTGAAAAGATCATTGAGTTCAATGGTTTTCATCCTTTTCTCATTTGTGGATCCCTAAAACATTTCAAATGTGGGTATGAACCCTTTTAGAAATCTTATACATCAAGGTGGGCAATAATTTTTGGTGGAGGGCCACTCTAAAATTTTGGTAAGTGGTCAAGAGCCACACTTTTCTGTGGAGGAAGTACAGGCAGTCCCCGGGTTACGTACAAGATAGGGACTGTAGGTTTGTTCTTAAGTTGAATCTGTATGTAAATCGGAACTGGCGGGGGGCTGACTACAGGAAGCCCGAGGCAGAGTTGCTCTGCCCTGGGCTTCCTGGAATCAGCCGCTGATCAGTTTCAACAGGATGAATCTGGACGCCAGTTCCGACTTACATACAGATTCAACTTAAGAACCCCAGGCGTCTCCCGGTCTGCAGCACCCGCAACGCAGGCTGGACTCCCTGACTGCTACAGCCCCAGACCACTTGAAAATATAGGCTGTTCCCTCCACTTGGCTCTCAGCTCCCCCATCTCCCAGGCCAATCTCTCAGCTGCAATTGGCTGGCTGTTTCCAGCCAACAGGAGCTGAGAGATTGGCTGAGGGCAGTTCTTATTGGCCGGTTACTGTTGGCCAATAGGAGCTGAGCATTGGGCTAGGAGCAGGGAGATTACACGAAGCGTCTCCCTTCCTTGCAGAGCAGAGAAGCATAGGGACTTTTAAACCGTGGCAGCTGTGTGCCTGAGGGAACCGACAGGGTGGTGATACACAGGCCTCATCCATTGGCTTGGCAGGGTCGTAAGGATCTGGCCCCCGGGTCGTATTTTGCCCAGCCCTGTTATACATATACCCCTCCACTTTTGTGCAGTCCAGTTTTAAATGCAGCAATGAGATTTCTAGCAGTGTTCTTTTAGTTTTTTAATTAAAAATGCTACATCTGGAAATATTTCCACATGAACACTTCTCTTCTATCCCAATAAACTAAAATACCTTCACACACTGTCAGCCAAAGCACATTAGGTCTAGCAAAGTGGAAAAGGAGGTGATGCAGTTCTGCACGGACTGCAACCAAGATGGGAGAGTTTTGCTGCAAAGCTTTTGAAAATGAATACATAGCTTGCATTTCAAATTTCTCTAATTATATTTCTGTTGCTAATTATATCTATACAGTACTTTCTGCATTCTGTGCTCATTATTCATTATCTTTGTCCGAGTGCATATTTGCAAGATAACTGAACATTTAATACCTGGAGACCCTAGCATTCTTTCATCGGTGCTCATTTGCATTCTCATTAGTATGCATGAGATTTTCATTGAACTTTAGTACTCCTACTGGCACATAATGCACGGTAACAAGCGTAAAAGTGAGCTTACAAATTAAGACTCCCATTAATCACTAAATGTTACCACTAAAATAAAACCGACCTAGAATTTGCCAGCAGTAAAATGTGGCATGAAGCATGTAACGCCTTGAATCTCCACAGACATTGAAAATGACTGATATCCATTCAAGAGCACTGCGGACATGAGCTAAGGAAGTAACTGAGATAATCTATCACTAGATCTGGTAGGTGACTATTCAAAATTACAATTACATAAAAGGTTATCAGTTGTCTGCATCCATGAGATACTGCCATAGCAAAAAATGTATCATTTCTTTTCTTTTCTTGTATAAAGGGGAGAGTGTAGTATAACAGGAGGGCTTTATCTAATCACAAATTTATCTATGTTTATACTGTCAGCATGAATTCTTTTAATACCAACATTAAATTAATTCAATACAATAATACAAGGAAATATACAATAACGGCTTCATTTTGCAACAAAACTTGGCTCTAATTTGTGTTTATAGATAATTAATATTGGTGTAAAGACATGGAGGAATTATGGTTTCACTTATGTAAAACTGAGAATCACTTGATATTACAAAAGGCTTGAAGGACATTCAAAGCCTTTGTAAAAATCATGGCTTTGAGCAGCCAGGATATTAAGTCACTTTTCAGTTGTTAGCTTATGAAAGAAAACCCTAACATTGGTTCAGAGTTACAAACAACCTCCATACCCAATGTGTTGTTAACTATGAGGATCTACTATAGGTTTATAAGTCTATACTCTAGAATGTGTGTTATGCTTTCTATGTAATCATTTGTTTCCAATACCTCTATCACTTGAATCTACATACTTTATTTCATAAACTTTTACTTGTTTTCACTATAAACACAGAGTGTTCTGTGTATGAAGTGGAGTGTTTATCTGAGGTGGAAAGGATAAGCAAATAAGCTGAGGTGTACTGTTTCTTTGGAAGTAATGAATCTGAAATCTGGAAAAAGTCTAGTGGAACAGAAGCTAGGTGCTGCACGGAGATGCTCTGAGGCTGGAACATGCCTACAGCTCACCTATAGAAACAGTGGGACCTTTGTGGGCCCGATGGAAGTGCTCATGCTGCCTGTAGCAGGTGGAATTGGGGAGCTTACCACAGCAGACACAAGTTAGGCTTCCTCACCCATGGACAAGTATTAGCAAGATACTTCACAGCCCTGGGTACCAAGCCTGCAGATGGCTTGAAATGACATTTTAAACCATGTAAAGTGCCCTTTAATTGTAAGTCTTAAGCTTGCTGTTCTGGGGAATCCCTTATCAAGACCACCTCAACACAGGACTCAATGACGTGACTCTGTCATCCATCATCATGGTGGGCAGGGACTTGAAAGCAGGCCCCACCTGAAGACAGGGCCATGGAACCAAAGGGAGAGCCCAGAATACACAAAACACACTAACCCAGCGGACAGCAGCTGCATTGGTGTTCCCTGCTACTGTCACCGTAAGGAGTAATGGATGCCACATAGTCAGGTTATGCTTCACTTCAGAAATTCACTAGCTTCCACAATGACACTTAATGAGAGAGTCATAGAAGTGGAAGGGACCTCAAGAAGTCACTGAATTCAGTCTCCTGCCCTCACTGCAGGACCAAGCACTGTCTAGATCATCCCTCACAGGCGTCTAACCTGCTCTTAAATATCACCAGTGATGGAGATTCCACAACCCCCTAAGCAATTTATTCCAGTGTTTAACCATCCTGACAGTTAGGAAGTTTCTCCTAATGTCTAACCTAACCCCCCCCCC